TTCGCTCTAAATTAATTTATATACAAATTTGAAAAACCATAGGTATCCAAGTTCCATAACAAAAATCAAAGTGGTTAAAATTATGGGAGGTAATGGGTTGAGTAGGATGTACGAGGTTTGTACAAATAATTCTAATTTTGCGCAGTTCTTGTTGTGTTCTTCCTTGGGGACTCACGCAAGGCGTAATTAGACGGAAATATCACAGTTTTGGCCACAGTTACAACACCTCCCTAACTCTTCGCTAAATGGCAGTTAACAGTGTGACGACAGGTTCTGGTATCTTGATTCGATACTTAGCCTGCAGGAGACCTAGCTTGAATAGAAAGATTAACTGCCTGTACCCGGGACCAGCAGGTTTAATCACCCTAACAGTAAAGAAGCGAGGTCGTCAGTCTCGGATGAACGACTGCATGAGCCATGCTAAAATCTAAACAAAACTATTTTGTCGACCGCCTCTTCTCCTTCAAATACAATGTCCGCTACGAACGCTGACGGTAGGAGAGGGATCACCGACGTTAACGTTGGTGTGGCATTTCTAACAGGGGTTAGGATGAGCACTGCCAGTACCGATTCAGTCTAGTCTAATTGCCGGTACTTTTTTCAACCAAACCTGAATCGGACAGACAGAAAGGTTCATACCTTTATGCGAACCATCCGGGGTTGCCAATTGACAGTAATTGTGTTGAAGACGAGGAAGGTGACTGACTCCGCCGACTCCTCCAGGACCTTCACTTTGCCAGCGACCAGAGCCAGATGGAAGTGAAGGATACTCACGGGCCCCGAGAAGGGCGTCGCAATTACCTGTGTCACAACAGTGGTCGCCAGTTCTGTGTAGACTAAAAAAAGAATAGGAAGAGACGGTGTCAGAGTACATGCCAACCACAGAAATCACTCTACGCGCGCACACACAGACCATCAGAAATGAAACCACCAGCACCAGTGAATAGCCGGTATCATGTTTAGTTGTGGCAAGCGTTAGGAGCCGAGCTAACAGACACGCGAACAAGCAGCCATAGCGAGTCGCGCTCACGCCAGGCTATCGATCCGCCTACCCGGAGCCCTGACGAGTCGTACCCACGCCATACGACC